GTCAAGATTCAGTCTGCTAAAGAATTTAATAGCCAGGCTTGTAAAAATAAGAGTAGTACACTTGTTGATGATGATATTAGAGTTTAGAGAACAGTTTAAGCATGAAAATATAAATATGGAAGGTAGAGAATAGGGTGGGAGCAAATAGCTTGTAATATTATATTGCTAGTAATTTATTAAGGTATACCATATAGGCGTGTAATAACGTGCAGGAGCACATTATTTTGAACCTCTGCGTGTTATTTCAGGACACGCATGTATGATAATTCGAATAATTATCCTAATTTTGAAGGAAAATGTTACAACTGTTAAAAGCTTATCTGAGACTATATATGTGGGGTGCGTTATTTTGGAACGCGCATAGGTATTATTTTGAATCAAATATGCGATTTTCAAAAAAATAGAATTTTCGAAATAATGCCTATGTGCGTTATTACGTGCCTATACAGTAACTAGAGTTGTTAGATTGGTGATAAGCTTTGCCAATAATAATTTAGTTATTATAGAGAGTGATAAGCCATGGCTTGAAGTGTTTATAAAAATGGCTAGTATTATAAGTATAATAGTTGAAAGAAGACAAGTAAAAGCTAGGCAGAATAGTACAAATGGAAGTAGTAATAGTTTGGCATTCAAAAAAAGTAAACAAAAGAGAAATTTTTTCTGTGGAGATTTTGTTAAGTCTGGGTGAAATATGCATCTAATTGAGAAGACAAGAATTGTTGGATATAGTAAGTTGATTGAGGAAAAAAAAATAGTGATAGCAGAGTTGCTTTTTGAAGGTAGGATATTTAACATAGGAGGTGAGAATTGATTCAAGAGATATTAAGCTTTTATGAAGAGTAAAGAGTATTGAGAAGTAGGAGTTAGAGTTAATAGAATAATTAATATATCTGAAGAGTTGTATAATTTTAAAACTTGTAGAGTGTTTGTCAGGTCTATTGATAATGGGATTTGGATACAACAGTATACTAGTAAATGACCAAAGATTGTTTTGAAGCTGTTGTACTCTAATTTGGATAGATACTCCAAGTAGATCTTTGTTGTTTAGCTATTTAAAAAGTTGGAAATGTGGTGCTAAAGTTGAATATCCCAGATATTTTTAATATTGTAAATTTAGAGTATAAAAAAGTACTAGTAAATATAGTATAGCTAAGTTTGGCTTTGTGCTTGACAAGACCAATATACTGTAAAAGTATTTTGATACAATAAAATTGGCTAAGAACAATATTTTAAAGACAATATTCAATAGAAAAAATAATAATAGCATTGATAATATAGCGAGCCTGTGTGTCAATAATATGTTTGGTATGAGCAATTTGGATGAGGTAAGAAGATTCTGAGATAATAAGTTGAGATTGTTTAGATTGTTTGTTATTTAAAATAAACCAGCAGCCAAGAAACTTGAAGGGCTAGTAAGAAGAGCAAATAAATAAAACCTGGTTGTTGAAAGTAGTTGGTGTATAGTTGTTTTATTTAGAATTGGTAGAGAGAATAGATTTAGATAAGTTAGCTTGGATATTTGCCATTAAGTAGAAGGATTCTGCAATAGAAATAATGTTAGATAGCTTAGTTTGTGAGAATGCAATTTAGAAAATATCATCTATATAGGCTAAAACTAAATAGTTGGTTTTAGTATAATGGTAGTAGAATGTTTGAGATTAGTAAGCTATATATAGATATTCTGTATTTATAAATATTTATTATTTATATTGTTAAAAGCAAATCTAATTCTAGACTATGCAAGACCAATATGGAAATACTATGTATATTATATAAACAAGTATTATATAACAATATCTTGACTAGAAGAATTAAATACTAATTTCCTTGTAATAAACATGTTGGACCCAGGTTCTCTAACTAGAACAATAATACCAATTTCATAGAGAAAAGCTATCTGTCTAATTTGGGCTAATAGCTATCAAGATAATGTTATCTTATCTGGCAGGTATTATGTAAACACTATAATTGCAATACGCAAGGCCTTTAGTCACATGCTTTTGCTATTATCTTGCCAATACCTATGTATCTGTCAAATCATACTATATAACAAGAAATTGTCAGGTAAAACATGTGACTATATGTATATATCATCAAATATTGGGTATTGTCTGCTATTATTGAGAAAGTAAAACTTAATAAAAATTGTTATAAAAATAAAAACTAAGTTGTAAAAGGAGAAAAAGTGTTGGATAAATAAGATAAATTAGGTTTAGATAGTAGAAAAAAACAAGTAATAAAAGTATCAAATATTCTTTCTTATTTCTTGCTATAATTCTTATAAATATAAGTTAAAATTCCTCTTGTAAAAGAGTAAAAATAACACTCTACAAAAGATAACAATAAAAATAAATTGTGCTTTAAAAATAAATCTGTTAATAAAAAACCTCTAAATACAATAAAAAACTTGATATTTTTTAAATTTATTTATCTTATAATGCTACTCAAAGGTTGCTTTAGATCTTGCCAAATCAAATCTGTCTCATCTTTATTTTGAGTAATATTATATAATATCAACAAATTTGAAGTACCAATTTGTTGCATTTCTTCTTTTCTGTTAGTGCAACCTAAACAAAACTACTTATAACAATATACTCCACCTTTCTGGTTTTTAGCATAACTATGCTGCATAGTTATCTAATTTATGTTGTAGCATTGGAATATTAGAGATAATAAATCTAAAGATTTTATTTTACTACTAATTTAAATATTTAGTTATATAGTATTTATTTAGTTAACTATTTAGTCATTTTATCAAATTTAGAATTTTGACATTTTGACAAAAAATATTATTATATTGAAATATATTTCAATACAAAATTGTTTAAATATTTGACAAAATAGAATATTTTGACTAACAACATTAGTGCAATGTCTAATTAACCTCTATAAAAAAACAATAATTTAAATAATTCAAATTATATACTATCTAAACAAAGCTTTAATTTCTTGTTAAAAATAATATTAAAAAAACATTCTATTTTTATAATTATTTGTATAAATTCATTTATACAAACCTTTTAATAAAAATTTAACAAAACTGCTAAAGTTAAAAAAAATAAATATTTTAGTTTTTAAAAAATTTCAATTAAAAACATTTAATAAATTTATAAAATTTTTTATTTATATTTTAAAGTTTCATAATATTTATTTATAAAATTTAATAAATAATTATTAAAAGGATTAATTTATTTGTAGCCGGGGGCTACATGTAGCCGTGTTATCAAATATAGTTTTTTTATAAAAAAATTTCGCAGCTATTAATATTAGGTTAGGTTAGAGTTAGGGTTTAGAGTTAGAGTAAAGTAAAATTGTGAGAGGAGCATTTTTACTTAGTTACACAACAGGGTTACCCTAGTAAAATTTTGAGTTATTATAGAATTATTGAATATTGCTACATGTAGCCACTGCTACAAATAAATTTTTCCTTATTAAAATATTTTCAATTAAAATTTTTATAAAATTTTTAAAATATTTAATTTTTATTACAGGATATGTCGTATAAATTCTAATCAAATTTGTAATATGTATATACAAAATTTGATTTTGATCTATCATTTATATCTCGTGATTTAGTAATTAAATTTTGTGATTTTAGTACCATTCGAATCGTCTTGATGAGATGATACGAGTGATGCTAAAAATCATTAAAATTCAATTACTGGATCACGAGATATCAATGATAGATTAAAATCAAATTTCATTAAAATTTAATTATCAAAATATTTTTACTAAAAAATATATTTATATGCTTAATAAACTTTTATAATTTAATAATAAGTAAATATAATATTGAAGTAAAATTGTAAAAAGAAAAATTTTGTTAGTTATAGAACAGAAGTTTTTTTAATAGAATTTTAAAATATAATATAATACTAGATAATTCGATATTTTAATTTTTATAATAAAATATAATTAATTATCAAATTTTATTATTGAGTAAAAACTTTCAACTTTTTGCTATAAAATAAAAACGTATTGCATTATTTTTAATTGCTATAATTTCTTTATACTATAAATATTAATTTATTATTAAAAAAAAATTATTATATTAAAATAATTTAATTTGTTATTAAAAAAATATATATTCTGACTTTTTGCCATTTAAATCAAAATTAATATATTTAAAAAGACTATTTTGATAACTATTTTAAATTTTTAAAAAATACTTGTCAAAAAAAATATAACAAGTTAAATAATATATAATTTTGATTAAAATCAGTACCAAAAATTTTGAATTAAATTAATTGTTGCTTAGTAATTACTTGTAAAGACATATAACGTACCGTAAAATTACAAAATATTTTTTTTTTAAAAAAAAGTTTTTAAGCGTTTAGATTAATTTATTTTTTTTTTTTAAAAAAATACAATTTTTTACTATTCGAAATATTATGTATTTACGAAATCTTATAAATATTTATTTGTAAAAAAAAAAAAAAAAAACATAATATTAGTAACTGAATTTATATTAATTTGAACCTGAAATACAGTAATTGCTGTCAATAGTATAAACTTATCAACAAATAATCAATAATTAGAGTAGTAACAAAATTTTGGTTGATATTTAAAAAATTAATGTGAAAACCCAATATTTTAGATATAATAAATATATAATTGATAATACCTGAGGGGTTTGCAATTTTTATAATTTTTATTGATATGCAGTGTCTAAATTTAATGCATGAAAGCACGTACGAAAACTTAATTAGTATGTAAAACTACGCACGCACGTATTCACGTTTGTAAGTACATACTTACGTATACAGACATACATATTATGCGCGGTGAATTTACTAAATAAATAAATTCAAACTAAATTTTCTTTATAGATAACGGTCAAAGTTGCAAGAAATCACGTTAAAAATGAGTGTAAGATCACGTTACAAGTACGTACATAAATTTCTCGTGTAACTAACAACAAATAAAATAATGTATTGCATTGTTGTCAATCAGTCATTTCTTCCAAAAAGTCTCAAGGTTACATTTGCTAGTACCAAATAATGAATAATGGTAAATTTGATGAATTTAGAGATTCTAGTGAATATAATGTAAAAATTATAGTCGGTACTGAACCAAATGTTAAAGAATTTAAAGCTCATTCGATTATATTACAAGAACGTTCAGAATATTTTCAAGCGGCATTATCTATAAGGTGGGCACGCGAACAAGATGGATTCTTTATAATCAAAAAACCTAATATTTTACCTAAAATTTTTGAAATTATACTCAAGTAAGGTTATTAATAGTGCATGTAATTTTTATTTTTAAATAATAAAAACAAATTAAATTTTTTTATAAAATTATATTTAGTTATATTTACACCGGTATAGATCCAATGGATAACTGTGATAAATGTGATGGAGAAGACTCACTTGATATCCTAAAAGCAGCAGATGAACTTGAATTATATAGTTTAATCCAAAGTATGCAATACCATCTTATCAATCATCATTCACCATGGATATATAAAAATATAGTCAAATCTTTAAATACCGTTTGTCGTTACGTACACTTCCACGAATTATATGACTATGTCTTTGATGCGGTATGCAGAAATCCATATATTCTCTTCTATTCTGTTTATTATACACATTTAGAAGAAACAGCGTTAGGGCAGCTATTAAAACGAGACGACCTTGAAATAGAAGAAGTTAAAATTTGGAATTATTTGATAGAATGGGGAATGGCCAATTCGAATCCACCACTGAATCGAGATGTTTCAAGATGGACAGAACAGGAATTTGAAATATTAAAGGTTACAATTTCACAATATATACCATTTATAAGGTTTGGTTTAATGTTACCGTATGATTATGAGACCAAGGTTAGAGACCCCTTTATGTGCATTCTTCCTGAAGGGTTTGATGAACGAATTATGGAGTACTTTTATGGATCTAGTAACTTATGAAGTCCCTTTATGCTATTGATTAGAAAGGGGACTTCATATTTGAAGGATCAAAGAAATGGAGCACTCTTATATTTTAAGAATGCTTTTCACGATAGTTGAAAAAAACACTTTCATGATCGAAGTTTGTAGAGAGAAATAAATGTCTTTATTGTAAGACTTCGATAATAATTGAATAAACTTTTCTTATTCCTCATGATATAACATGAGGTTATCGTGAAAACTTTTATCAAAGAATTTTTGGAAATAAAAAAATTTTACGACATACCAAATCTAAGATCTATTAAATTTATTCAATTTTAATCATCTTTCGCAGCTTCTATATACATAAATTCTAAGTCATTTATAGTGTATGAAAATTGTAAGGTTGCAAATTAGTTATTTTAGATGAGCCTTAAAACGTATTAAATAATTTGCATTTTATATAAGAATAGAGCAACACAGATAATAATTGTGTAATACTTAACGTCAAACGTAGGTTAGTATATTTTCTTTTTGTCATTACCCATTATCGTTATATAATTGTTATATATGTTGTGTACCTAAATTATTTTCGAAAAAATAAAGGTAATATGAAATCCACAAAATAATTATAAAATAAATATGCGAAACATAACGAGAGGCTGACTTAATCCTCGTTAAATATTGAAACATGCGATCAAGATATAATGTAACGGTAATAAACTGCTCTACAGAGGTATAACGTATTTCCCATGTTAATTTATCAAACTTTTCAAAAATTATAGTTTAAAACCTGATTAACGCTAATGTTAACGTTAAATCTTGATTTAACGTATAATAAACCTGCTTCCAAACTTTATCAATATATTCATTTTATTAGACGATACCTGATACTATACTGTAAATGTATAAACAATTGTCTAAATATGTTAAATATATTAAACTACTTTTATGTATTGCTTATAATAGTATATAGGATACTAATATTTTTAACGGTAGATGAAATATTCGTTTGTCGGACTACGTATAACAATTAAGAGAAAACTTAGTAAGAAATTTTTTTTTTTTTTTGATATCTGTCTCTATTTCATAAATGATAACATTAGAATATGCTCAAATCTACTCTCTCGTTTGTTTATACTTTTGATGTTTTTTTTTGTTTTTTTTAATAGCCAGTCCAGAGACAACTCTATGCGGATAAAGAACCTGTGGAATATTATTAAGTAATTTATTTATCGATAATAACCATTTCTAACATAATAATTTTAATATTATTAATTGTAGTAGACTATTATTATAGTGAGTTCGTAATCATTAGAATTAGATATTTGAAAATTATTCACACTCTTACTTTGATATATAAGTTTCTATTTTTTTTTTTTTAAAAAAAAAAGAGGATCCTGTTTCGAATTACTTAATTTATTATTCTATAATTCCCAAACCTTAAAAATAAAGATTTTGATTCTTATTTTTTAAATTAAAAATTTAAAAGTTTCTAATGGTTTCTAATCTAATCTAATATAATCTAATCTATTTATCGTCCAAACCTTTGATCGCATTTGGAATATTTTCTCAATCCTTTTACAAAAATGCTATAATGAAAGTCGTAATTTCCTGGTACATGACTTTGTCAAACAAATTATATTACAATTTAATTTCATAAATATCATTCCATAACCAAATCATAATAAAATAATAATAATAAACTTACAATATCTCAGTAAGATGAATGTGCCAAGGCGGAAAGCCCTCAAGCTCAATTTTTGGTGAAAAGAGTATAAGAAGTTGAGGTTCAGAGAAACGAGGAACTGTATTGAATTAAAGAAAAAAAAAAAAGATAATGATATGAAAAATGGAAATCTTATATTATATAATCACTTTTTACAAACCACTCAATCGACGATCTAATTCTTCTATATCCAGTTCATCACTTGTCATTTTCCCTTGTATTACATCTTCTGCTAAATTTTTTGTTACTTCTACTATCCGTGGACGACCATCAGCGTATGAGATCAAATTTACTTGCATATCTGCAAACATTATAACAACAATGAATGCTATAGACATTAATAAAGCAAAACCAAATCAAGAAATTATACCGGGTAAGTTCGAATTTTCATTATTTGAATATACATTTTTTGTTGATACGCAATGTGCAGTAACACGAATAATTGGAATAAATTTCTCATGAGTAAAAAAATGCTGAGAAAAAGTATCAATGTAAGATTGTAACAATTGTGCATTATTTTTCAGATCGTCTTGATGATATAGTAAAAAAAAGAAGGGTTGATATGTCAGATAAAAATGGTTCATATAAGATAGTGAAAAATATGTACGTACCTTCAACATTATAGATACTCAACATCTTTACCCCTGAACACCAAGCCCAACAACATAATTGTGCAGCTTCTTTCAGTCTTTTCTCATTTATTCCTCCCCAAAATAAAACAGCGAGATGTTTTGGAACTTTATCCAAGTTTTTCAGATCTTGTTCTATATGCAAAGAATTTATCGGTGTTTTAGGTTTTCTTTGAAAAAATAAAGGGATCAACATGAATAGTTTATATATTGAATATACGAAATGCAGTATCACGAGCAAACATTTATAAACAAGAGTAGGTTTATGATAAAAAACTAAAATTAATGACACAAGGATCCCGTAGAAAATTGCTGTCGTCGTTATAAACATTGTTCACAAAGAATTCTAGTTGTTTTACAATATGATCAATCAAATCACACCTATTTATATTTTTGTGGATAAGGTCTATTAATGAAAACCAAATTGGTGACACCGTTAATGAAGCCAAGGATGATAGTGAAACTGAAGGAAAAACAGACAAAGTAAATAACTTGTTACAAAAATTCAAACAGAATACATTTGTAAATTATTGACTATTTTCACTTGTGCAGATAATAACGGATTTCTTAGGAAATGCTGTTGAATGCTCGGAGGCATCAAAAAATATTTGTTCAGTGCATATGGAACAATATCCTGATGATGATTTGATTGATCTCCGCTTATGTTCATCTTTCCTCAGAAGGCTTCCGAAATCAATAGCAACATCATATCTATCAGAAATGGACAATATAACGGAATCTTTAATTCCTGATAATGTGCACCAATTCCTAGTGCAATTCTTTTCACAAAAGATTTCTGACGATGAGTGGCAAATTAAAGTTGATGATCTACGATCTTCAGAGCAAGATAATCCTCTAATGACTGCACTGATTCGAATTTTACGTCGCACATTGCCACAATTGTATGTAGTCATTTTCAACATAATAATTCATTTTTTAAAATTTACCATTTTTTCTTTTAAATAGCATAAAAGCATTCTCCCTTGGGTCCCAAAACCCTCTTTTAAATATTGCAACAATCGAGCAAGCGCATCTCAATGCATTTATACATCCGTGCCTCGATAGTGCTCTATGGTATTTAGCCAACATACATTACGAATATGGAGAAATTCCATCCAGAAACCATATTAATAAGAACCGCGCCGATGGTGTTGGTTTTATGACCGATATTGATAAATTCCAACTTGTGTACTTCGAAGGATCAAGGCCTGCTGAGAAGAAACCGGAAAAGGAAATTACTGATGCTAAAAAAATTTCTTACAATTTGAAAAATCTATATTCAAACGTCGTAAAGGAAGTAATCAAAAACCGTAGGCGTTTGCCAAAGAAGTTGTTCATGTTTGGTGGACAAAGTTTTCGACTACGTCTTCACTTATATTATCTTGATTATTGTGGTATGGTTACTTTTATTTAGACTGCGAGAGAGTATTGATAATTTCATTTAATTTTTATTTTCGATATCAATTTAGGAAATTTTCGATTAAATGAAGTCGATAACGCTAATTTGCCACGAGAATTTTCAGAGATGCAAAATTTTATATACTTTTATGAATGTATAGTTAAATGGGCGGTAAGTGTTAATGCAAATTTTGTTACAAGTATGCATTAATAACCTGTTAATTTTGCATACATAGTTGTTGGCCCAGGACGTCATAAAATCTTTTGATAAAGCAAGAACCGAGCAGAGACCTTCACGTCTCTCATATGCAAATGCCCTTCTTCAACTAGATGAATAATATTTCTGCAGATATTGAATATAAACCAAAAAAAAGTTGGAATTTTTATCATGCAATACAGATTGGCATATGAGTGCTGCACAGGTAAAATCTGATATTTTTCTCAGCTTTCTTATCGTTATGCAAATATTTATAATAAAAGTGAACTCTGGCACTCGAATCTGCAATTACTTTTGATTTTTTTTTTAAAAAAAAAAATTTTCAATAACTATAGACTAATACGTTTTCTAATAATAAACTGTTTTCAAACAAAAAAGTGCGTTTGGTACAAAACTACATAAACTTACCAAAGCGATAATTTATTACAATTTTTTTTTCTTTAAAAAAAACTGTAAAACGTAAGGGCGGAAGTGGTGGTTAAAGAAAATTACACTGGTAACATAATCTATTACATATATAGGATCCATCAATTTCACTTAAAAACAAATTATTACAAAAACACATATCATATTTTATTTCTTATTATATATTATTAAAAAGGATAGACGTTATAAATATAACTCGTATATTCCTACTAATAGATGAATGAAAGTATAAAGTACAATAGTCTTGCGGCCTTGACAAGTATACATTTAGTAATAACCAATTCATTTTCATAAAAAAAAACATATATCTTTAAAAAAAAATTATTTCGAATATGTCATTATTTATTATCTATTCGAAGGCATACAAGACTTTATAAACCTTAATTAGCATCACATATTCCTTCTCATCGTCCAGTTCTTCTAATTCTTGATGGTCACAAAAGTCACATAAACTATATACTGTATGTATTAACTTTTATAACAAAAATGGCATTTTGCTATATGCACTCTCACCCTACACTACACACATTCTGAGCTTCCCTTTTCTAAGCTTAAAACAGAATACAGCAATGCTTGCAACAAAATTCATGATGACAATGGTGAGCTGGTAGCAAAACACACATTTGCCAAAATGTTTGGACAAGCATATACAAAAACCGGATACGTGTTATTTCACCGACAATCACTTCACAGACAACTTAGTTCACCGACAATCAATTCACAGACAAGTCCATTTCACCGACAATTATTTCACTGACAGATCATTTCAC